TGTGAGTGAGTGTTTGAGTGTGTGTGTGTGTATGTATGTGAGTGAGTGAGTGTGTGTGTGTGTGTGTGTGTGTGTGTGTGAGTGTGAGTGTGAGTGTGTGTGTGTGTGTGAGTGTGTGTGTTCCAGCGCTTTAATCTCCTCACACTAATCCAGCACAGCTCACTTGCTCTCTCTCTCTCCCCAAAACTCTGCCTTTCTCTCCCCATCAGCCCTTCTCTTTCCTCTTTCTCCTTGTTATCTGTCTCTCTCTCTCTCTCTGTTCCCTCTGCTGTAGATCTGTTGTTCTCTCTTGTGCAAACTCCGTTCTCTCTCTCTCTGGAAAAGATCATATTCAATGAGCATCTTTGCCTTGTTTTCCTAAACATTCCTAAAAGAAGACGATCTGATAAGCACAATTGTTGCTATTAAGAGATAAATATTAATATTTAGACTTATTCGATTATTTATTTGAAATATATGTATTATTCAGTCACAGAATTTGCCTTTAAAATGAGATCTGTTTCATTTGTTTTCATTTGTATATTCAAGACGAAAATGATCTAAAAACAGTTGTTGCTCAAGTGAATTTATGTTGTTTTAAGGATGTTTTGTGTATTGTCGTTTAGAAGGTTTCTCCCTCGTAAAACTTTAGTATGCTGTAGGCAACTTTTGTAAACATTGCTTGACACTTTTGTAAGAACTATTCCATTAAGATCTGACAGTTTTTTTGGTTGACACGACTGAATAAAGCTGTTATTCTAAAATTCAGTTCTGTCTCTCGGAGGAAACCTGAGTCTGGTTTGGTCAGTCATGCGGAGAGTTTCTGCTCTCTGACCAGTAATAAGCAGCTGTGAGAGAGAAAACAGCCGAGAGACACAGAGAAACTCAGAGAGAGAGAGAGAGAGAGTGTCTGACGCCGGCTCAACATGGGTGGCATTCAGCCGGAGGAGGAGCGAGAGACTGGATCTGACCTCATCATTAATAACCATCATTAACCTCAAAAGAGACTAAATTAACCAGAGCACGATGGTTAGAAAACTACCAGATAAAACAAGGTCAAAAGGTCAAACTATAATTCCTGTGATTGCACAACAGTTTCTAATAAAGTTATAAAATAATCATGATCAGTGAGAAGGAGTTAAAAATAATTGAACTTGACAATTACCTTGAAAAATACCAGCCATAAATAATTCTAAATAATTAATAAAACAATAAGAAATCGTGTTGTAGTTCCTTAAAAAAGTAATACATTTTTAAAAAATATTTTTAGACACATTTTTTCTGATTGGCTAATTTAACTTCGAGCCAAAACTATTTTTTGTTCACTTACTGAGACATTATTCAATATATTAACCCATGGATTCCTAAACGTTTTTGTTATCTGAACCCAAAACTTTTATTTGAAGTACACCTGAGATTTTAAGTTAATTTTTCAATAATTTAACACATTCATATGTTCTCTGACATTGGTTAATGGCCACATTAAACAACAATTAATATATTTAATACGTTATTATATTTTAATATTATATTCTATAATTAATATTTAAAATAAATTTATATTATTTATTTATAAATATTATTTAATTCTAAAATAAATAAATATTATTACATTTGTTTAAATAAATGTAATTGCTTTTGTCTTAAAATTATTTACGCAAAGTTTAGATTTTTTGATTGAACTGATTGTTACATTTTCATCAACTTACAAACCCTAGTTTTGGAAACCCTGTGCATAATTCCAGCAAAAGCATTATTTTTGTTACAGAAATAAACAAAATTTGATCATGCTTCACACTGCACCGGTTTTGTTTGTTTTTGCTCTACCTGTGTGTTCATGTGGAGGACGGCTGATATGAATCAGATGTGTTTTAGTGTGGGATTGTGGGTAATGTGAGAGATCGTACCCTCGGCTCGGCTGGTTGGCGGTGTTGTTGTAGTGGTACAGCCCCTGATGCGGCTGCATATCCACTGGCATTGAAACGAACACACCCGCTACAGCCACAGACCTCTGCAGGAACACACACACACACACACACGACAGCGTTAGACCTGATGCAACACACACAGCACAGCTCATGCACACTGAGCTTCATAATACTGTGTGTTTTCATCATGCACCTTTCTTTAAAGTCAGTAGGAGCATATTAAAACAACATGGTTTGAGTACCAACATAGTAGTTTAAGTAAAGGACATTTTTTGGATATGCAATACACAGGCTGTCATGCAAGCATGTGTGTGTGTGTGTAGGTGTATATCTGGTAACGTGTGCTAATGAGTTTCAGGCGCTAAATAGAGATCTTGTATGAAGCCACAGCTGCCCGACCCAATAAATACCATGAGGGAGGTCTACACACACACACACACACACACACACACACACTCATACACACAGGTT